CTTTTTGGTTGAAACAAAAATTTTTTTTTGGATTTAAAAAAATTCATTCTTTTCTTATTTCCTCATAACTAACTCCCATAAGTAATATCTGTTAAGGAAGACGTTCTGAGTTCCAAATAGCTCTAACACAGATCAACCCAATATTTTCTCCCTTGAACTATTTGTTTTCTGATTTATGGTCTATTGGGTTTAGTGGTTGCAAGTTCAACATAGGAGGCCAGGGACTTTAGAACATTCTCTGACCACAGCAATGAAAAATGTATGATTCTTCTTTTCTTGACTTCGTTAGCACAAAGGGTAGACTAGGTTCCTTCTTGTGGAAGAATGTATGGTGATCACCATTCCCACTCTTGATTCAGGAGTCTTTCTATTTTCTACTGCTTTTTGGTCTCTTCAGGAATCTTTTCTGAGTTAGAGAACTTTGTGGCATTCATTGAAAGACTCCCTGGTATTAGTGTAGCCAGGATTTAGGGCTCACCCTGCATCTGAAAGGGAGTTGGAGAATGGCATCTTTAGAAACCAAGGTGCAACAGTTCACACAGGGTCTCTGAATCAGGTATTTCCCAAAAACTACCCCAGAATTTATGAGGGTACTGATGATCTGATTGGGGTCATACCAAAAGTCATCTGCAGTCTAAATTATGTAAGAGAAAATTGTACATTTTAAGATTACATATGGGGACTTTCAAAACAGGAACTATTCATTTCTTTTCTCATTCCAAAGCTGTTTTTTGAGCACTTACTTTGAGTCAGGCACACTCTGGGGGACTGGAGATACAGCAGTGAACAAAACAGACCCGGCACCTATCCTCACAGACCACTAGGGATTGCTTTGCCATGGTTAATCCAGCACTGTCCCAGTGTCTGAGACTCTGGGTTTCACAAAGAAGGCCTCCCATCTCTAAATTGGGGCAAATCTTCAATTTCTCACATACTGGCTGAAATAGCTCACAGGAGCATCTGATCCCTTTAGCTTCAACTCCCCATTCCCTAGTCTGATATTAATGTCGGCAAGAAGATGTCTTCATTATAGGGAAGGAGGCTTGGAGAAAGAATGGGGCTAATTGCCTCCAGAATTAATATATTGTTTGGCCTCTTTGGGTATGTTTACCTCTACTGCTATGACAATACCAACTTAGGGTAAATGGGTAAAGTCTTAGCTTTGAATTTGCAAAGCAGAGGCTCGGATGCTGTCCATGATGACCAACAGCTTTGAATTGGAAAACACAGATGACGTCAGTCGGTGTCCACCCGCTGATTACTGACCCAATTCTCTTCTCTTTCTTACCCCTCAAAGGCACCACAAAGTCTAGTATTCAATACACTTTCTCATACCACTTGATTTTAAATTTCCAATAACCTTTGGTGAAATCCAAACTCCCATTTTACAGATGAGAATACCAGACCTCAAAATTAATTTGCTCAGTTTCTCAAAGCTGCTAACCGAAGCCAATATTTAAGCCTAGGCCCTCTGGCTCCAAACCCATGCTCTTTCCACTATCCCACAGCTGTCTACTTCTAAAATTTCAGTTCTTCTTTCTCTTTGTACATTGTTTCAACACAGCCTGGTGGGAAACTGTCATATAATCTGCTGGTTTTCTCCAGAGCTAGAATCAGCTATAGGCAACCAAGGGCTTAAAGCTACTCCTCTCCCACCTGCAGGCTCTGCCCTCCAGGTTGTGGGTCTCCCAATCACATCCTTGTCCCCAAGCCTCTCTTGCTTCCTGAACAGGAATCCTGTGGCTGTCATGAATGCTTAAAGATCTATTTTTAGAAATCAAAGGGAACACACCAAGGTTTCTAGGAGTCTATTAATATCTGAGGACACCCAGAATTTTAACTTGATTGATTTCAAGGTAAGTTACTCCAGAGAAAGATAAACTTTCCTTACTTTTCAACAGTCACCATCCCCAGTATAGGTTTCTTTTCTGGGTTTTGTTGTTATTGTTGTTCTCCCTCTAGGGCTTCTCCTTATTACCTGATGCTCAAAGTCAGGGATATTAATAGCTAGCAGCAGCCACAGTTGATTTCTCTCCAAGAAGGCCAAGGGGGAAGCAGCACTAGTTCTCCTTGACCTCCTCTTGTGATTGGCAATGCTCCTTAAGATCATCTGCACGGAGGGACTGCTGTTTTAAAGATCTGTGCAAATGTCAATCAGTGTATTCCATGCTTTTTCAAGCCTGCTGGAGATAGCAACTTCATTCTAGGGCACTCAGACTACTACTTCAGGCTTAAGAGAATCATCATATACACAAGACAGAAAATGGAAATTGAAAATTAATTTTATAACATTTAAATAAGTAAGAAATGAGAATGCACACGTATAGTCTCTGTACTTGGGGATGTAACTGCGCCACTTACGTTACACACACACACACATACCATATCTCTGCTCAACAATGTTTCTTTGCCTTAATAGGTCAGTGATGATAATATAAAAATATAAACACCAAAAATAAACACGCTTTTGAGATAGCATTGCATTAGGAGTGGTACTAATATATGTTAAAAGAAATCAATTAGTTAATCATGTCATAACTGAAAACAAAAATATTAAACAAGGCAATAATAATGGTATAAGCTGAGATACCTTCTGTTTCAAAATCAGTGATAAGATTACTTTCCAAGTAGGTAGCTTTCCAGTATAATATACAGCACATGATATAAAGATACTACACATCATTAGCCACGAATTTTTAGTATCCTCTTAAGAATAAAATACACAAAAGACTTGTTAAGTTCTGTCCCATGTTCTAACATGAACCCTTTTCACTAATCCTCAAATCAAACTCTCTAATACAGTCTAGAAATTATTGTTTCTTTTCATCAGATCAGAATAAAACAGAGAAGCAGCTTGCTTTTGGATGGCTGGGCTGTGACAATGAGAGCCACTTACCACCAGGAAGAGTCTTTACATTCGGAACAGACTTTTCATAAAAGGAACCTATCTCCAAAGGGGTTAGAAAATCAACTGCAGCTAAAACAAAATTTCATTTCAGAAAAGATCTGCCCTTTTCCCTCATATTCAACAGGCATGTTCAGCCCTGTCTGAAAGCCAATGATTTTTATAGATGACACAAGCTCTTGGACCAGGTCCCCAGCTCTATAACTTGGTGTTAACTCAGGGATCAGCATCTGTTGCACTGCAAGCCAAGAGACCATCTAATAAACATGGGACACCATCAAGGCCCCTCTGCTGTCCCTGCCCACCTGCCTGTCCCTTCTGACAGTATTAGTACCCCAAATCTCAACTGAACACCCACCATGTCTCTCTGGGTCTGGTGAAGCTAGGCATTTTCTTTTCTTACTGCCCTCATCACTTCCTGCAGTTGCCTGAGGCTATAGTGGTAAAAGACCTTGCTTTGTGGTAAGAAGTTTAGGAGGAAGCAAGTTTCCCATTTGCTGGACACACAAGCTCATGCCCTTAATTACTGAGCCCCAACCTAAGGAAAGAACAATAGCCCAGGGTCATCTTATCACTCACATAATCACAAAATAAATATTAATTGACATCATTTTTTAGGATTCTGACCAATTCGGAACAGTTGTTAATAATGCCCAAATATTCACATAAAAAGAACTTGTATTTTTTCCTTCATTGGACTATTTGTGCATGAATTTGGTAATCAAATTATTAAAAGGCCCAATTTGCTTTAATTGCACTACAGTTCTTAAACCTCTCGAAAGACAGATAAGCAATTTGGGAATAACTGGATACTTATGAAAACTACATGTGTCTCACTAAGGACTACAGAAATCACAGGAAGCCATTGGCCCTCTCCCTGTAGGACCCCAACCTGCACTGCCTGGTTTTTAGCCATTCCAAGGGACCAGAGCCCTGCATCACTCCAGGACAGTCTCTAGATCAGGCCTTACTCCTGGCCAGGATGACTGATTACATGGACATCTCTGATGAGCCAAGGAGACCCAGCAAACTAAGGGATCCTGGGGAGAAAAGATTGTCCCTGGGAAGGTGGAGTCAGTCRCTAGTTCATTCCATTAGTGTCCTTGTGAAGAAGACAGGAAAATGGCAGAGAGATCTGTGAAAGGAAACATGGCCCCTGGTCCAAACTTTGGCCTGACACTCTTTCAAATGTGCCTGGCATGATCACCTGGATGCAATAACTGGCCCAGAAGGAGAAATGTCAGGGACCATAAGAGTCACCAAAGGCTGCCCTTTACTTTGACATCTGCATGAAGGGAGAAACCCAAATACAGGTTTAGACTCATAACCTTGGAATTTTCCCTTAGAGAGTGCTTCCAGTGGAAGATTAGAACACGTATGTTGTCAAAATGACTTTATACCCCGGGTTGCCCCAAATGCTTTTCTTAAGCACGTCCATCTCATCTGCTCCATATTCCTCAGCAGCACACCTTGCTCGGGGTAGAGACTCCAAAATATTAGATCTGAGTTCAGCATTATAGTCCCTTCTCCAGTGTGCCCTTGGATATCCCCACCCCCTAGAAGCAAAGGTCCAAGTAAAGGAGTAGTACTGAAAAGGCATTCCCTTAAGGAAGAAACCATCCTTAGATAAACACATTTAAATCATCAGTAGTAGTAGATGCAACTACATCTCAGACTGAAAAGCTGCTGCAGAACCTGTCCCAGTCTGACTCCTCCACAGAGTAACTGTGTGACTTGAGCAGATCATTTCATCTCTCTGGACCTTGGGACCCTTATCTTAAGCGAAAACAGAGAACAGAGAAGTCCACTCCCTGCCTTCTTAGTTTGGTAGTTGGAACACCACTTGAGTCCAGTATAATCCAGCTCTGGGGTCTCCCTCCAGAAGGCCAGTGTTTGAAAGGAGAAAGAACTGTGRTACTTTGAACAGCCCTAGGACAAATGAGGGTCAGTGTTTAAGTTTGCTCTTCATAACTTGTATTGATCAGTAGCCAAAATCTTTAAGGGAAAAGAAGATTCATAACAAAGCAAAACCAAAAAAAAAAAAAACAAAAACAAAAACAAAAAACCCACACAATAAGTTTCTTTCTCTTTAAAGGAAAACTGCCAAGGATGCAGAAGGAAATGAAGATGATCAAAGATGAGGATGTGCATTTCAACTTGGGTGTGAAGAGCACCCCCTCCTTTCCCCACTGTCTGCAACCAGTGGCTTCCCGGGGTAAAGCACCCCAAAGACATCCATTCCCAGAAGCTCTTCGRGGGCCTTTTTCCCAGTTTCGGTATGAACCTCCTCCAGGAGACCTAGACGGATTTGCTGGGGTCTTTGAAGGAGGGGGGTCCCGGAAACGGAAGAGCATGCCCACAAAGATGCCGTACAACCACCCGGCGGAAGAAGCCACCCTCGCGCTCCACTCGGAGGAGAACAAAAGCCGTGGCCCTCCGAGCCTCCCTCTGCTCTACCCGCAGCCCCCACGTCCCAAGTATGACTCTCAGATGATTGACCTGTGCAACGTAGGCTTCCAGTTCTACCGCACCCTGGAACACTTGGGGGGCAAATCTGTCAAGCAGGAGCCCATTAAGCCCAGCGCCGTGTGGCCCCAGCCAACGCCCCCTCCCTTCCTGCCTTCGCCCTACCCCTACTACCCCAAAGTCCACCCTGGCCTAATGTTCCCCTTTTTCGTGCCCTCGTCCCCACCCTTCCACTTCAGCCGGCACACCTTCCTGCCCAAGCAGCCCCCGGAACCGGAACCCCTGTTGCCCAGGAAGGTGGAGCCACAGGAGAGCGGGGAGACGAAGCAGAAGGTGGAGAGGGTGGACGTGAAYGTCCAGATCGATGACAGCTACTATGTGGACGTGGGTGGGGCGCAGAAGCGCTGGCAGTGCCCAACCTGTGAGAAGTCCTACACCTCCAAGTACAACCTGGTGACCCACATCCTGGGCCACAGCGGGATCAAGCCGCACGCGTGCACCCRCTGCGGGAAGCTTTTCAAGCAGCTCAGCCATCTGCACACCCACATGCTGACCCACCAGGGCACGCGGCCCCACAAATGCCAGGTGTGCCAYAAGGCCTTCACCCAGACCAGCCACCTCAAGCGCCACATGATGCAGCACAGCGAGGTGAAGCCGCACAACTGCCGTGTKTGCGGCCGGGGCTTTGCCTACCCCAGCGAGCTCAAGGCCCACGAGGCCAAGCACGCCAGTGGGCGCGAGAACATCTGTGTGGAGTGCGGCCTTGACTTCCCTACGCTGGCCCAGCTGAAGAGACACCTCACCACGCACCGGGGCCCCATCCAGTACAACTGCTCCGAGTGCGACAAGACCTTCCAGTAYCCGAGCCAGCTGCAGAACCACATGATGAAGCACAAGGACATCCGGCCCTACATCTGCTCCGAGTGTGGCATGGAGTTCGTGCAGCCCCACCATCTCAAGCAGCACTCGCTCACGCATAAGGTATTGAGGGGCTCCCCTCCCAGGGACAGGGTTGCTGGATCTTGGGGGATCACCATAGACGCTGAGAAGCTGTGTAACCCTGGGCAAGAGGCTTCCCTATCCTGAGCCCTGATGCCCTTCCTCACCTTTAAGTAAGAGAGAATGATAAGACCATAGACTATAAATCAAGTCCTTTCCTCAGCTAGCCTTTTAGAGTCTAAGGTAGGCCCAGGAATAAATAATGCAGATATTTGGAGAGGAGAGTGAGGAAGGATGAAGAAGCAGCTAGTTGTCTTGCTGTTGCTTCCTACTTCCCAAGAATCCCTATTTTTTTTTTTTCCTGATAACTTCATCTAGGGCACTAGCACACAGTGTGTTATCAGACCTTGATCAATAGGATATACCAGTGAGAGTCTTCTAGAGAATTCTTGTCTTTTGATGCTGAAGCAGGGCTACATTTTGGTCTGTTTGCTGGATCTCTGCAGGGCCTCTGGGGAGAGCAGGGCTTGGCCCAGTTCTGCAAGGCCTGTTCTTCCTGGGTGTGAGGCAGGTAACTGAGTGGATTGGGTGGCCTGTGGTTTGCATTGTAGGAGGCAGGAGAAAACATCCTTTTCTGTTTGGTTTGTTTTTATCTTCCCTGGACTCAGGTCTTCAAGGAGATATACAGCCCAAGGGTCTATCTTCAGTCTGGGTTGCAACTAAAGCCCTGGAGTCATGCAGACTGAACTAAAACAAGGCCCTAGTGGCATTCCTGAAATCTTAGCCTGGTTGAGCTGACTTGAGTGCTTTGAACTGCTGAGRAGGGAGTTTTGCCCTGCTGACCTCATCCATTACCCTTGACCTCAGTGGTTTTCTTGGCAGGAAAGACTTCTAGCAAGCCAAAGTTTTGTTAAAACATTCTTTAATTCTGAAAGGTCAGTGAAGGACTTTGCCCAGCCAAGATAATGCTTCTGCTCTGCTATAATGGATTTCATTTGTTAGATTAAGACAAAACCTGGGGCATTTTCTGACTCTGAAGCAGAGATGAAATGTGGGTCTGCCTTGTGGGCTCTGCACAAACAGCTCCTGCCCTACAAAGGGCTCCCGTAGATACCATCAGAGGGGAGTTGCCTGCCAAGTGCAGGAACCATCACAAAGGACCTAGACCAAGATTCAACCACAAAGAGGACCATTTGTTTATTTTGGGACTCCTGCACGTATGGAAAAGGCATCAAAGGTACATTTTAGAACATATGGATTCTGTAAGTTAGTAGAAAATGAAGTCAAAATGGGAGAAACATCTTGGTGTCTAAAATAAATTTCATTTGAATCAGGAAACAAGCTGCATTTTAATTAAAAATTAAAAATTAAATTTTAATTTATTTTTTGCTTTAATTTTAARCAAAAAGTGAAAGGTAGTATTGAATACTTTTTCTCTRTGGCCAGTGCTTTACTTCTCATTTAATCCTTATTTACTTCCCAACAACTCTGAGAGCTACTCTCAATTTGCGGATGAAGACACCAAGGCATGGAGAGGCCACTCGGGAATCCCTGACACCAATGTCTGAGTTTTGAACACTTTACCCTGACAACTTCCTCTTTTCCACCCCTTCTTTCCCCTCATCCCTAACCTCCCCCCACCCAGTCCTGTCAGAGATACAACAGCTTCTTTTGTTGCCCCATAGTTGTGTCCAAGTTCCTTTTCCCTTGCCTTCTGTGAGCCTCATGTGAGTCTGACTTTGGACACTGAATTCTCTAGAAAAAATTCCAAAACCAGTGAAAAATAGTGGCTTCTCCTTGGTCCTAGATCATAGCCACACCCAAAGAAAATCTCTCTGAATTTTTTTTTGGTACTGGGGATTGAACCCAGGGGTACTTAATCACTGAGCCACATCCCCAGTCCATGTTTATATTTTTATTTAGAGACAGAGCTCTTGCTGAGCTGCTGAGGGCTACTCTAAATTGCTGAGGCTGGCTTTGAATTCATGACCCTTCTGCCTCAGCCTCCCAAGCCATTGATATTACAGGTGTGCACCACAGTGCCCAACCCAAAGAAAATCTTTTAAATATTTTATTTATTTTTATTTTTTGATGCTGGGGATTAAACCAGGGCCTTGGGCATGGTAGGCATGCATTGAACACATTGAGCCACTCCCAGCCCAGAGAATATCTGGAAAGAAGAAAGATACTGTAGTAAATTTTGAAAACCATCAAGAAAATATTTCTATTGATTTCATAATTTTAAACTCAACTAATATGCAATGTATTTTCATCTTTTTAGAGGGCATTAAAATTTAATTTTAAAGGAGGACAATCCCTAGATCTCTTTATTAGCATAAATCCATATGTATCTGCAATCATTTAGACTAGAAACTGAGCTATAAAGAACCCTAGGATTTTCAAGACCTATTGGTTCATCTTGAGAAGAGAAGCCTCCACCAGGAAAAGCCATGGGACTTATTTATCTAAAGTTTTACATCCAGTAAATGGCTGGGCAGAGATCTGAACCCTACCCTTCAGTACCACGGGCTCACCCAAACTGAGGAGTGGTACCTTCTTACCATGCTCCAAGTTAGATAAGTGAAAATATAGTCTGAGTCTGAGCTGAGTTTGGAATCTCTTCTTTTGACCTAAGAAAGGATACTATACTATAGATTCCAGGAAATATGGATTTATAAGATTTGTTCATTTAGTAACCTGTTCTCATTCTGTAAGATTTTTCATTTTAGATCCCTGGTCCTCTAAGAATTCCTTTTCAAAAAGTCATTCAGGCCAGGTACAGTGGTGCATGCTGTGATACCAGGTACTCAGGAGGTAGAGGATCACTTGAGTCCGTGAGTTCAAGACCACCCTAGAAAACAAAAGTTCATTCTGGATCAAGACATCTTTGAAGACCTTTGCAGGGAAGCAATAGGTTTAGCCAATGGGCTGCTTGAGGTGTGAGTCCCTGGAAGTGCTCTGGATTGAGGGCATAGATGCTCAAGTATTCAAATGCTGCACTGCAGATAGCAAGCAAACTGGAAACCTTCTGTCCTGTTTTCTAATTAGAAATCTGCCATATTTCTCCATCAGAAGGAGAAGATCCAGGACCATATCACACAACTCAGAATGGCCCATGGGAACCAGGGGACCAACTAGAGAATGACAATCAAGTCATAATTGATTGAAGTGAGGCTGAGTTGCTCTCCTGGAATTTTTCTGTCCATTAATGTCAAGAGGACGTTGTTTTTCATATGGCAAATGATACCAGTTTAAAAGATTTTATTTCTTCATTACCAGAAAAGCCAGATTACAGACACATTCCACAGTGCTTTTATCAAAATCCTACTAATGCTTTTGAATTGTTACTACAGTATTAAATACCAGAAGTTACAAGAACAACAAAAGTGATAGTTTTCTTTTCCTCTACTGGTCTGGATAGTTTATGGTGTTCAGAAGGAAAAACAAAAACACCTAGATTATGTAATCAATGCTTTTCCAAGAAATAAATTAACAAGGCTAAAACTATACCATTGGGAACCTCACCAAGCTGTTTGTGGATTTATGTAGCAGAGAGAACAAAACCTCACGGAAGCCTGTTACCTGTTAACCAATTATTTGTTGAATCTTGCCTCCTCACAGGGTGTAAAGGAGCACAAATGTGGCATTTGCGGGCGTGAGTTCACCCTGTTGGCCAACATGAAGAGACATGTGCTGATYCACACCAACATCCGTGCCTACCAGTGTCACCTCTGCTACAAGAGCTTCGTGCAGAAACAGACTCTCAAGGCACRTATGATTGTCCACTCTGATGTGAAGCCCTTCAAATGCAAGGTGGGCAGAAAAGAAGGGTCAGAGGGTTGGGCAAATATCCAAAGGGAAAGAGAACCTGGGAACAGTCTACTCTGTTTCATCAGTGGGGCTACTCAGAGTAGGTTTATGGCCAACCCCCAGTCCCATCCCCTACTCTGTCCCTCTTTGCACTACACCTTTGTGCACATAAGCTTTTGGCTGGTCCCTGAGGAGCCTGTCAGATTTGTCTCACTGTGTCATCAGGGCCCTGGGGGAAGGTCTGAGGGTGGAAAGCTTGTCTGGAGAATGGGTTGGTAAGGGATGGAGGTGATGTGGAGAGTTCCTGTTCCAGGGTGGAGAAACAGGTGTGGTCCTCTTTCCCTTATCAGTCAATAAATTGAATATAGAAAGGAGTCAGAGAAGCTTCTAGCATAGCCCTTTCCTTGCCTCTGCCTGCTCCTTTTCTGACATTTAATCTGAACTATATAATTTGAAGGCAGGCTTCCCAGAGAGGATGAAAGAGATTCCGCAGGTTGATTTCCTTTACTTTGGATGTAGACTCAGTGGTGGGATTGTGGGATCTTACGGTAGCTGCAGCACTATTCACAATAGCTAAAATATGGAATCAACCTAGGTGTCTATCAAAGGATGAATGGATGAAGAAAATGTACTTTATATACACAATGGAATGCTATTCAGCCATAAAAAAATGGAATCCTGGCATTTAGAGAAACATGGATGAGCCTGGAGCACATTATGTCAAGTAAAATAAGTCAGGCACCGAAAGACAAATGCCACATGTCCTCACTCCTGCATGGAAGCTAGTTGACCTCATAGAAGTAGAGAGTAGCAGGAGGGTTACCAGGGGCTGAGAAGGGAGGGAGGCAGGATAGAGAGAGGCTGATGAGGGGATCCAAAAATACAGTTAGGAATAAGTTCTGGTGTTTCATAACATAGTGAGGTGACTCAAGTTAACAATTTATTGGATATGACAGAAGAAAGAATTTGGAATATTCCCAACATGAAGATGTGAAAAATGTTTAAGGTGATGGACATGCTCATTACCCTGATTTGATCATCACACATTGTAAATACTAATCCAAATATCACATAATGTTCCATAAAGGTACACAGTTATAATGGGTCAATTAAAATTTTCTAAAAAATAGAATAAAAGAAAGGGATTCTGAAGCTAGTCCTTCAAAGGATCCCAGAGATGCTGTGAGCACAGTCATTAAAGTGTTTTTCACTTATTCCTAAGTGCCACAAAGCACAGGAATGGAGCATCTTTGTTAAAAGCTCTTGTGTCAGATTAACTTGGTTGAATTTTTATTTCATCATATGAGAAAATGCATAGCTGGAGAGTCTCGTAAGGTCCAAAGCCCTGACCAATGTTGCTCAGAAGTTCCTGGGCTTCCTGAGGCTTCCCCACCCCTTAACCCTGTTTCCTTCTCTGCTGCTAAGATGAGGAATCTTGCTCAGATTGGGTAGTTAGGCACTGTGTGGGTGAGTGTCATCCTGGTCATGAAGGGAGGGCTGAGCGAGAGAAGAGGGAAATACCAGATGCAGATCATCTGTAGAGCTCTTCTGCTTGAAATAAAGGTTTTCCTTCTTTCTGTAACTGCATGTCTGATGGGGTGTGGGTGACATTCTCCATTGATCTATATTTCTGAAGTGGGGTTCCCTGCTTCTAGGGGACATTGCTGCTTTCATCCTCTGCAGCATGGCCCCCACTTAAAGGAACCCCCTGTGAAGTTCACTTCTTTCCTGTGTTGGCAACTCCTGGACGGGGTGAGGGGTCAGGAACCAGAGCTTCCCTAGACCGTGTGGGCATTGTCCGGAGGCGGGAGAGGGAGACTTCTCCCCCCAACCCTTTTCCTGCCACCCACTTCTGTTTCCCCTCCTTTTCTCCAAGTTCCCAGTGGTTTGAAAGTCAATTTATATCCACCTTGAGTCAGCCAAGTTAAGGGGGAGGAAGCAACATGCAGGATGGACTTCATAATTTTCAGGGACCAACATTAATGTTCAGACATTATTCAGAATTTCAAGACAGTAAAAACAGAGCATCAAATCAGACTCAGTACCCTTCTGAGTAGGGACCCCATGCTGAACACCTGTGAAGCAGCCTTGGCTTCATGAACCAATGGACTCCACAGAGTACCTCTTCTGTCTCTCCTTAGGCATATTTTTGATTCCCTTCCCAATCCATTGAGCCCCTATAGTGCTTCACTTTTATCAAAGCTGTTCCCTCCTCTAGAGGTTTATTGTCTCCTAATATGGAGGTGCAAGCAGAGTCTCTTTGCCATTCTTTATTCCCTTTGTTGATTTATTTTTGGGGCTTAAAGCATGAATTGTATTTTTTTCATCTTATCAACCTTTGGTGGAATAAAGTTGTTAAAATGTGAAGGGAGCCATTGCCCAATTTATCCCCTAAATATCCATACCTGTTCAGACCAACCATCTCATCCATTCTGATCCAGCAGTAGTGGCACCACCAGGCAGAGAATGCCCCTCAGATCGGGGATATGTCAGTGGCAGAGCCAATATATACTGAATTGAATTTGTGGGCACAGAGGAAGTTCTGCTTCTCCACTCTCAAATGTCCTTGAGGATTTCTAGAGGCYAGAAGTATCAGAAGTTCTAGAAGTTCTCTCAGGTACCAATGCCCAGAACTCTGGACAGAGAAATACAGCCTGAGTGAGCCATCCTATCTGAAAGTTTTAGCCCCTCATGGATAACAGTGTCCCCCTCCACCCCAGTGGTTCAAAAGGTATGTGATGGTCAGCTTCATAGTTCAGAAACTCCACATCTCCTCCTCCCTGAGGTTGGATTAGGCTCTGGATATCTGGTCCACACTGTCAGATCCCATAAGAGAATGTTTGCAGAGTGGAATGCCAGCTTTGAGAGAATGCACAGTTTATATTTCACAATAGGAGATGGCCCTGGCATAGGATTTGGGCTGGTCATCTACAAAGATCATTTTTTTCTAATGGGTACATTCTCTCATGTGGCCACATTGTGAGACACTAGATTGCCTAGAAAGCATTATCTATTATTAGACAAAAAGGTATTAAAGGGCATTTTTGCCAAACTTAGGTGGCCCTTCTACTTTCTTAAACATCTCGAAACAATAATGGGTAGCAATCACCTCTACCCAGGGCTCTCTGTCTCCTGGAAAGTGCTAGAATGTACTTCCAGGTTCTTCCTTTCCCCGTTACCATATCTCTGCAAATTGTCACCCTTCTTGGTATCCTTTTTGTACCACCACTCTTTTTCATTCCAAAAGAATCCCAGAGCATGCCTGAATTTACAAATTATGCAAAAAGGCTCTTAGTGTTTTATAGAAACTGTGTGATAGGCCCTCTTGAGATGTGTCCTGTGGACCTTGCTTTTCATCTGTGTTGTGCTAATTTCTTAGAAATCTTGTCAGGGGTTTGGGAGTTGGGAGTGGGATGGAGTATCATGGTTGTGCAGTTCATAACCATCGGGTCAATGGCTGGCTGGCTCATGGTGATGTTGGAGAACATGCTCAGATAACCAAACAAGATCTTGGAGCAGTGACAGGGAAGAGTTATTCTTTTCCTGTGTTTGACATGTTTGGAAAAGAAAGACAGATCTTGCTGCAGCCATATTCTAACAGTTAGCTATGTCTTCTTTACCCAAAACCTTGCAACAAGGGAGGTTCTTTTGGTAACGGATTCCAATGTCTTGCGATTCTCACCATTAAAATTTCCTCCTAACATAAATCCTTCCTCCTGTTGCAACATGAAGTGGTTCTCTATGGCCCTGTGCTCAGTAGAAACAGCTGTTCCCAGCGAGCAAAAACATTTACTAACTGTGGTCTTAGGCATTAACAATAGGATGGAAAATTAGAGGAGAGGAAAGGTTTCCATTCTGTTTCTTTCTTTTTAATTTTTTTCCCTTATATTAAAAAAAAAAAAATTACTGCCCTTCAGGGCTCTTTTGCTATTGGCTCAACTTCTGGACTCCTTGCTTTTTGAAGCCAGCTGGCGTCTGTCCAGAGGCTTGCGCCTGCAGACTCACTTGAGCCATGTTTCAGAAATATGCTTCCCAGATTCTGCGTAAGCACGCAGGGGTTGATTTGGATACTATCCTTGTAGGGCCACACTCCATAACAGCAAAGAACCAGCTGCCGTCTTTGGAAAACCTGTCCAGGAAAAGCAGCCATCCAGAATTTCCGGGACAAATTCTCTTTTGAGATGGGTGAAGCCGGGAGCTGCCTAAGTTATGAATCACCAGGTCATCTGCAGCCTTTTCTGCAGCACAGGGCTGAAGGCTGGAGGGCAGAGCCATTAGAAGAGGGGTGAAGTCTCCCTGAAAAGGGTCTCCACCTCCACTGCCAAGCTGCCTCCATTATCCTCTGGAGATCTTTGATGTTCTAAAAGGAAGAAAGCAGGTGAGGGACTTTGCAGGCCCCATGGTTGGGGTCAGGGTTTTCAGGCTGGCACTGAGGGGGTTAAGGCAGTGACCAGATAGCAGCCTTTTGGCAGCAAAGCCCTCCTCAGCAGAAGGAAGGATATAGCTGTATGAACTGCCTGCTTAACAATGCCTCCCGCGTCCCCAGGGGCCGCCTGCAAATAGATTTCATCTTGCTTTCTCTTGTACTTTTCAAAGCTTCCTGTTTTCTCACGGTCCTTTTGGACAGTTTACAGTCTCTCTCTCCCTCCCTCTCTCTCCCTTTGAGGAAAGGAACACCCTTCTTATTAAAGGAGAGAGAGGGAGAAGAATGTAAGGGAAGGGCAGTTTAGTGAGGCCATTTTTCCTCGGCTGAGGCCTGCAGCTCTTTGACCTTTTCTCTCAGAATAGGAAAACGCGGGCTTCCTGGGGCATCTCAGCTCCGAAGCTCACTTGGGGCTGGAGCAGGGTAGTGTGCTTCTTTTTGGCTTTCTGGGCCTCTGGCCCCAGCCAAGGGGCTGCCACTGCCATCGCCCTGTCTCTCCCCATAGCCGACCTCTCTCTGGCAGCTACTGACTGGCTGTCAGCATGTCGCAAGGGCTCACGGGAGTGAGCCTGTGGTGCCTTTTGGCCATGGACTGCGTAGGGAAAGGGCACCAGGAGACCAGAGTGAAAAGGCCTGGAGCACACAGGGCATCTGCTAGTTGCTTCAAAGGCAGACTGAGTTCTGGGGAACCAGAGAGTGGGCTCTCCCAAAGCCTGCAAGCTAGGATTTACTCAATGCCCATCCTGGGCCTATATGCTACTTGCATTTCTATCAGGCTCCCAGTAACCTGATAGATATTTATCTAGAGTTTTCTTCATTGGATCCTTCTTTTGATATTTCCTTCAGTTAATTTAGCTTAAAAAGACAGAACCCACATCTTAGAAGATCATCCTATTTCTAGAACGTTAAAGAATCTCCTGTGCACTCCATAATGATAGTAATAAGAGCTAATATTTACTGAGCTTTTGCTGTTTGCCAAGCACTTTGCAAGAATTATGTCATTTGATCCTCCCAACATCCTTCGTAAGAAACTACCTGTCATCAACATTATACAGAAGAGAAGACAAAGCAAGTTCTCTGTTCTGGGTTCCCACTATACCTGTCTACACTGTCATTGAAAAACCTTATGATCCAGGCAACCTATTTTTAAAGTATAGTTAAAAATGCTTTCTTTTTGGAGGGGTGGTTGGTGGTGGGGTACCAGGGATTGAACTCAGGGACACTTGACCAGCTGAGCCACATCCTCAGCCCTATTTTGTACTTTACTTAGAGACAGGGTCTCACTGACTTGCTTCGTTCTTCGATTTTTCTGAGGCTGACTTTGAACTTGTGATCCTCCTGCCTCCACCTCCCAAGCTACTGAGACGACAGGAGTGAACCACCAGGCCCAGCTGCTTCTATTTTTTTAATTAGATTTTGAGGTCCACTTCCTTCTTAAAAAGTGGGTAGGTGGAGAATCTGGGATTTAAAGTCAGAGGCACATTGATGCTGCTCATTAGAGAGGATTCAGGCAAAAGGCACTGTGGTTGAGACGATTCTGAAAAGATGAAAGCTTTGCCCTCACCCCTCCATCAGCTTCCTGCACCTGTATACCTTGTTTTAAGCTCTGCAGACCATGGTAGGAGATGATTCAGCAAGCCCTAACTTGGGTAAGCTCTTAGCTGCACAGCTCATGACTTAAAGGGGACTTAATCTAAGTGGCTGCTTTTATCCAGAGAAGAAACGAGTTTTGTTGTTTCTTCCCAGTCACTCTTCTTCTCCCAGGCCAGTTTCCCTCCTGACTGAAGTGCTTCTGCTTGGATCTGCCATCTCAGACGTCATCCCAGGGTGCGATCCTTAGCTGGCCCCCTCTTCACTAACAGTCTGAAGTCTCTCTCCCTGGATTTCAAAGACATAAAATAACTCTGTGCTCTTGTGTGCTATGTCATATGAGGATAATCTTCTGAGAAAGATGAAGAGGCCTTTGGTTCTGGACAGGGCCCCAAGGGCTTTTGGAAGGGTCAGAGGCTGAGAGGATGAATCTAAGCAACTACTGCTGAGATGTGAATGGAGCTCAGGTGCCTTAGGCCCTGAGTTAATTGGCTCCATCCTCCTGCTAGGGAGGACTGTATTTTCCTAACTAATGTGTCTAGGTTTAGTGGGGAGAGGAAGAGAACTGGTAATGGCTGCTTTCAGAAGTTTGCATGGGGTAATGATATTTTCCTGACTTGGTTATTTATTCTCATGACCAAATATTTAGCTACTCATTGAGGGTACTAGGTGTATAGTCCTGTGCTTGATAGAGAAATTGGTTACATAGAAAAGGGAGCTGACCCTTGCATTGGAGATTACCGGGGACTCTGTCTAGGGCCCCAAACACCTTTCAGAGTTGGTGTACCTCCATTAGTCCTGGGAAAGCTCTCCATTGGTGTGTCCAATAGGCTAACATAACCATGCAGGATAAATTTAGAATATCAAAAGTAAATTTTACCAATAGTACAAAAATCATTCTCCTTTACCAATCACACATGATATAGCTGACCAGTCATGTCCCACAATGGACTTACCCCGAGGCCACAGGTCTTGATAATATATATAAAATGATATTGACAATACCATTTTAACATCTTAATGTCCCCATGTGCCGCTAAAATGTTCCAAGAAGTTCAGTACTGAATGAATTGAGCTAGAAATACATTGTAGGAAAAAAAATACACTAGTAAAGGATCATAAAAAGAAGCTTATCTGAGGCTGATGCAGAATGTGGAGGATGCCTAGAGGCAGCCACTCTGATGAGCACACCTCCGAATTTGGAGTGGGGGAGGGGAAATGATAGGGGCAGGTGAATTGCAGGGTCTGCCCTGACTCCCATGTCCCAGCAGGTCTGACAGCAACATGCAATTCATCATTATCACAAAAGTGATAGTTCCTGTTCCTGGTGCTGTAAGTTTGACTGGAGTGTCTAAAAGTAATCTAATGAAGAGAATTTATTTATGGGTCAAATAAAAACAAAAGACACTGCACATTCTTCAAGGTAAAGGCTAAAATTCCATCGCCTTTACAAAACCCCATCAGGTCAGTCCAGCCTCTACTACCTCAGCAAACACAGAGGAATTCCTCCCATCATGGGAGTCAAGTGCAAGAAGGCACCCATCCTTTGCAAGGATGTCTGTCTGGCCTAGAGACTCCACCCAWGCTGGACTTGTGCGGAAGCCTAATTGCCCTTATAGCTTTCAGCTCCTCTTCTGCACTTGCGTGTGCTTCACCACATCAGGCTGTTTCTTCTGTAATTTTCTGGGGCCAGGTGCCCACTCCTTCCCTCAACACATTCTCTCTGAGAACCTAGCATGCATCAAGCTTATCCTAGACAGGAATACAATAAAACGCAGGCAGAGCCTTCATGGATATTGCAGTCTMCTAGGTGAGAACACAGCTGAAATAACTATCGAGCCAAGTACTGGTCACACTTAGGAATTGCAAACAGCAATATCACTCCAAATAATCAGGAAGCATTCCACAAACCAAAGGAGGTATGCCTTTTCTAAAAATGATCACAACTGGAAATACTTAATGTAGAATCTTGAAACTTTATTTCTTTAGCCATAATAGAGAAGTAGGTAACCTAAGCTGATAACTGTACCAAAACTTTTATACAYGTGTGAAATTGAGCCATAGAATGAAATATCTTAATTAACTATCTCTATAGAGAATAAAAGAAAAGATGTGTCCATACATATATTACTTCTCTTGAGGATGTTGGAATTAGGCCAATCCTCTCATCCTTTTCTCCAGGGGGATCATTATTTTCAAATGAAGGTGGTGCACAGCTTGGAAACCCATACAGGTTGCCAAATTTGGTTTTGCTAGTGTGGAAGCAAAGGGAAAAGTATTTAAAATCCCCAAGTACTAATTATCCAAAAATACAAAACCAGCCATTCATAATCCATACGTGGATTCTGTGACAAATGCATAATCCTAGACTGGCTGWCTCTTACCACCCAGTGTTCTTTTAGGCCAACCTTCTGAAGTCATCATTTGTTAGGTCTGAACATTCCTCCAGAGTCAACTCAACTCTCACTTCCCTGAAAAAAATGTTGCCTACATTAATAAAAATTCAATCTGAATCTCCAACAGTGTTCATAAAAGGGTCTCAGTGAAAAAGGACACTGCTCTCTCAGCCCCAGAGGGTGCCATACCTCTAGTCCTCTCTGTGACTATGTGGGGAGGTGGGAGGAGATTGCTCCTTCATTAACACTCTAGTCCAAGTGCAAACAGAGAAATGCTCCCTTGCATCCCTAACAGGACAGCCAAGGAAGGGCTGGAGTTTCTAAAACCCTGCTCTACTAAGGCATGGGGACAGGCAAATAACCCCAGGGCTGTTCTAAACTTTCTGCTTGCCCATCCATGCGTTTGGAAGGAAGGTTCTACTCTTCCAGAGGAAGTGTGAGAACCACTGTTGTGTCTCCACGTACCGGCACTTGGATGGAAATAGAGAGAAATGTTGAAAAAGAAATGAATAACCCATGTTTTTGTAGACCTGAGATAATATTCTTACATCTTCAAATGCCTACCCCAAGAACAGACACATCTTTTTCTTAGATATCTTATTGTTTCTTTAAACCTTGAAATGCATTCTAATAATTAGTAAATTAAAAATGCATTGTCTGGTACAGTCTTATAAAAGAGCTATGTTGTGAGGGATGTAGTGTGAACCCTGCTGGCCCTGGGGTCTGATGGCCTGAGTTCCTTAGCTCAGTTCCAGCACCCACTAGCTGTGAGCCTTAGGCAAATGACCTAAGCCCYTAGTTTTCCCATCTGTTGAATAGGGGTGATGATAGCATCCATCTCATAAGATTGATGTGGGAATTAAGTAAGATATTCCTTGACAGACTTAGAGCAATGCCTTCATATTGTGAACACCCCCTAAATATCAAACACATCACTGCATTCTTGTAATTAAACAAGCTTCCAGCAACCGCTCTTTCAGTTCAGCTCTTCTCCTTTTCCAAAGGTTGCATCCAAAACAGCTTTACAATTTTTCACCTTGAATTCAGAAATCCCTGGACACCAGCAACAGATGTCTCATGAATCCATTCTTCTGTGCTCCACCTCTGAGGCTGGGCAGAATCCAACCCCTCCCTGATGTCCAAGGGGCCATTTTCCTTGTAATCACAGATCTTTGAAATGCCAAGATCCAAGCAGAGTAAAGTGGTTGTGAGCTGCCACATGTCCATTCTCCAAGGGCCTGATGTGGGTTCTCTCTGGCAGGATAACTGTGTTCTCCTCCTCTCTGTCTCCAACAGCTTTGTGGGAAGGAATTCAACCGGATGCACAACCTAATGGGCCACATGCACCTGCACTCAGACAGCAAGCCCTTCAAGTGCCTCTACTGCCCCAGCAAATTCACCCTGAAGGGGAACCTGACACGTCACATGAAAGTCAAGCATGGAGTGATGGAGCGGGGACTTCATTCTCAAGGTATCACTGCAGGAAGCCCCACGCTGCCAGGTCCAGTGGGCAGCAGATGGGTGTGGAATTTGTTTTTAACTTTGGGGTATTACTTTGGGGGTGGTTATTCTTGTCAAAAAAAAAAAAAGGACTGTGACTTTTCAAGACTTAGAATGCTACTAGAAGAAATGTAATAATTAATGTGGGAAGGACATAAATAACAGAGAATCACAGAGTAAATTTAGAGCAAAACAATATGCCAGTTGGCTCAGGTCTTGGTTCCTTTGTTCCAGACGTTCCCTCAGGTGCCTTATCTCCTTAAATCTTCATAGCTCTTCCAGGCTGGAAGAACTTCTATATCTTTTTGCAGATGGGGAAAATGAGGCTTCCCAAGTTGCCTATCTGAAAAGTGGCCAAGTTAGGATTTGAAYGCAGACCCTTCTGACTCGAGGGTCTTTATTGTGTCCACTTCTGTTAAAGAGCATGTGATTTTCCTTTTCTTTTGAAAAAAAACAGGTTTGCATGTTCTGCTGCAAGCAGAATTGGGTTTGTAGCAGCCCCCTCCTCCCTGTTCACCCTCSTTCTGGTTTCCTGCTGATTGCCCCCGAGGCAGGGCAGGAGTTTATGTCTCTCACCCSGAACTGAGTCTTAACTGAGCTGATGAAGTTCTCGCCTCCTTTCCCTTGGCATCCCCAGGCCCTTAGCAGTCAAGTTTGTGTTCTGGATCTACTGCCTTCATCAGACTTGCTTCTTAGTCACCTAATCAACCAGTCCTTCATAAACAGCAATAAACGCACCTCTGTCCAACAGCAGTGAGCTGCATGCCGTGGCAGATCCTTAGGAACAAGGCCACCTCCGCCCTTTAGGAGGTCTGTGTTGGGGGAGAGATGACAGTGATACATGTAATTTACAAAATCATATGAACTGATTTTTGACCACTAATGTGATCAAAGCACAGGGCAAGACACTTCAGGGCATTCTTGCCTACTCCTACCAATTCATGAAAGAGATTGGGTTATTCTCATTTTAGGTAAGAGGAGATCAAGCCTAGAGGTGTTATATAAACTGCTGAGGTCAGACAGCAGGTCTGAAGGTGGAAGTGGACTTCCAACCAAAGAATTTCTGAATTAAGCCCAGGCTCACTACCTTAGGCAAAAACCTAGGGCAATCTGTTTGTGTTTGCTGCTTACAAAGACAGTGATGTCAGCACAGATTCATAATTAAGACACACTCCTGCATACACAGCATGTTCAAAATGATTGTCACTTTTAGGCATTTCACTGCATCCCCTTACTCTATGGTGACTCCTGGATGCCAGGGAACTTGGTCATCACAAAAAAGGGCTGGAGTTTAAGCTTTTAAAGGCCTTGAAAAAATTCTTTTTTTTTTTTTAAAGCAATTACTCTCCTGAATGATTCATTGACTCTCTAGTTACCTGAGCCACTTCCAAAGGTAGGCCTGGATTTTTCCAGAAGAGGCAAAGTTTGTCCCCTTGCTTGAGGGGGGAGATAGCCAAGGTAACGAGGAGGTGGTCCTCTGGCTGACAGCCTGATCTGGGCCCCACTGCCTGCCACATACCCATGTTCATATCCTGGCAGGCTTCGACCAGCTCTGTCACTCTGGGGGAAAGAAGAGAAGCATTACTGTGTATCACAGGGTTGCTTTGAAAAATTTTACAGACTTTCAACGATTCTAGTGTTTTCATCTACAAAGAATGTTAGCATTTTTTTTCCATTCTGGTTTTTAAATGACTCAAAAGTCATTAGAAGATCCTCCCTGTCCCCTGGCAAGATTAAAGATACAGACAGCAGCAGTGCCTGGTACCATAAAGTACTCAACATTGGACCTTGGGGCCCTACCCATCTGTTTTATGTTCCCACCCTGAAGCCTGCCTGGCTGCGTCCCAGACCCCTCCCTTCCTGTTCCTCCTCTTTACAGTCCTGGTTGACTGTGGAGTCACCACAGACCTGTAAAGAAGGGAYGAATGAACACTATCCATCCCATGTCTGTTGGGCACAGCCAAGCCCTTTCCTATAGGGTCCCAAACTGAAACTGGAAATGCCATCCTTTCCAATTGCATGCCTAGCATGGGGACACTGATGGTCAGACACAAGGGCTTAGTGTGCTCCTCAGATAGCCTCACTACTAGGCACAGGGGCCATGGTCTTCTAGTGGATATCTCAGCCCCAAGTGATTTCTCTTTGTATTTTTTCAAGATGAGAATATCTTTATTGTTGCTTATCTTTTTCCTTACAGTAGAGTGTGTATGTGTGTGGGGCGTGTGTAAAATAAAATAATACATACTTTGGAAATGGAAAGAAAAATGTAATAATCATCTCAGAGTTCATCAGGTTTGAGATATGGGCATACATTCTTCTAGAAATTTTTTTTTTTTACAGAAAGAGAAAATGAATCATGTCTACACTATAAATATATGTGCATATTTTTCAACTTTAAGTACAGAATACATTTTATGGTGGTTAATGGGTCTTTATAACACATAACACCTACACATAGTTCATTGTGTGGATGTACTGTTATGTGTTGAACCAAAACTTGAATACCAAAATTGTCCTCACAGTTTCACTATAATAAAAAGCGTGGTGATGAGAGCATATTTATACATACATTCTGTGCTCCTGCCTGCCTATTTTTTAATCATTTAAATTCTCAGTAGTGGGCTGGGGATGTGGCGGTAGCACGCTCGCCTTGCATGTGTGTGGCCCAGGTTCGATCCTCCAGCACCACATACAAAGATGTTGTGTCCGCCAATAACTAATAAATAAATAAATATTTAAAAAATAAAATAAAATAAATTCTCAGTAGTGTCCTGCTAAGTCAAGGCTTATTTTTAAAGCTTTTGGTGCCTGTTGCCAAGTTCACCTTAACAGGGTTACACTGATTTAGATACTGTCTGACAAGCCTCCCTTGTCTACCTTCTTACTGGGAAGTGTCTATATTTACAATCAGAACAGGTTAAATGGCCCTGGGTTACCCTTCCGCATACACTCAAGGCTCCATTTCCATTGTTCTTCATGTGTGCATGAATTCTCACTCTGCTCTCACAGGTTTGGGAAGAGGAAGAATCACCTTGGCACAGTCAGCTGGTGTCCTGAGGAGTTTGGAGCAGGAGGAGCCTTTTGACCTCTCCCAGAAGCGTGGGGTAAAGGGGCCCATGTTCCAGTTGGATGGGGAAAGTGCCCGGGGCAGCCCCTGCCATGAGGAGGAGGACGAAGACAATTGCTATGAGGTGGAACCCTACAGCCCTGGCCTGGCCCCCCAAAGCCAGCAGCTTGGTACACCCCAGGATCTGTCCACCAAGCCCGAGCAGGCCCCCGAGGGGCCAGAGGACAACTGCAAGGAGGAGAAGGAGGATGTGCCCAAAGAAGAAGAGGAGGAGAGGAGCAAGGACCACCATGAGGCAGAAGGTGTTCAGGAGCGAGATTGTGCCCGCAGAGACGAGCGTCTCAGCCTCAGAGTTTTCCAGAGCTCCCRGCGGGGCCCCTCTTTTTCTGATTACTTATACTTYAAGCACAGAGATGAGAGTTTAAAAGAATTACTGGAGAGGAAAATGGAAAAACAAGCAGTGCTTTTGGGTATCTAAGTGGACAGCTTTAAAATTACATTTGGAAAATGAGAAGTAGGCAGTTCAAATATAGCTTTCTGCATGAACTGTCATTTGCTGGGGACTGACTGGYRATGCCAGTCCTTACARATGGCTCAKACTAAATGAGCCAGCCTAGGTAGTGTAAATGCTTCCCAGGTCATTTCTTGGGTCCTTCATAATTTTAGCATGCATGCAGGGTGTTCACTGTTATTTTATGCATCACCCCTGTAACGAACTATGCATATTCTTTTAGATTTCTAATTGTAAGCTGAACCTGAGGTGCTTTCAKAAATTCTGTTTTTCTTTTACTAATATGTAATACATGGWAAATTTCCTTCTAGTTGCAAAACTATGGTGCTTGATGAGTTACCTYATTAATAACTCTCTAGTCGAGTTCATGAAAGTGATAATATTTTTCCAGAAATATATAGCTGTATATATAAAAATAGACTTTGTTAAATAATCAGAAAACCAGAAATAACACAGAAGGGTGAGCTTTTGAAAAGGATATTCTCAAGTAGTTGCTATAGATAAAAGATGAAACTTCAGAAAAAGATGAGTAGTTTTGATGAAGGGAAAATCAGCCATGTTTAAATTCCTTCTGGATCTTTTGTCCTGCTTTGGCTYATCAGATGGGGCATTTGAAACATATTTGCAGATGACTGGACAATGCTCAGGGGGTCCCRTTTCCTCAGACTAACCTCTGGTGTCCCAAGCACAGCTCCCTTCTAGAGACCATTGCTCTGTGGTCCCATGCCCCATAAAAAAGCAGCAGGGAGACTTGTTGGCAGTGAGCAATAGACCTCTCCCCAGGGCTGGAGGTAGGGAGTGGGTGGGGAATTCTCCCTGAAACAAGTTCTGACTTATTCAGGGTATTAGAACAATCATCAGTTAATCACTATAAGGAAGACCTGGGCTATGTTCTCAATGCACATCTGGAAGAGCATTTTAAAAAATACTAATGCCAGGGTCTCAATGACCCATCCCAGGATTCTGATTTAATTGGTTGGGAATGGAGCCTTTGCTCTGGTCATTTCCAKATTACCCTGAGTGGGGTATGCACAGCCAGGATTGAGAAGGATTCACTGGGCTCTGATAACCCTCATCCATTTCTGTGTTTACCAGGACCCCCCTCCCAGGGACTCCACAAATATTTCTGCCCCTGGCTCCAGACTCATTGAGGTGGAGGTCAGGATACCTGTAATCATGATGCTGACTCAGGTTTTTGTACCTRTTCTGGAAGATCCTCACAAGGAGACACACATACTCTATACAGATACACGCTCTTTGTGCTAGGAGAAGCCTGTGTTGTTCATGGTCACTTTTTATGTTGACAGTGACTCATTGCTCTTGTCAGGTGCTGGCACCACAGCTCCCGCCAGCACAGAGGACCTAGATAGCAGATTGGGCCTGGCCCATGGGCCTTAGTTAAGCACTGGCACTGAGCACAGCGATACTGATGGGGCTGCGTATGTTCAACTCTGACCCTGGTAGGTACTGTCTGTGTTTGTGTACACATGATCACTGCCTCCAGTTTGGGAGTTTCAGTTTTTATTTGTAGAGCTAGGTACTGCTGGTTACTGCTTCCTCTCCTCCCAAACTCCCTAGTACATTTCTTTTGAAGAGCTAGTTCATCTCCAGGGGCTGGAGGCTGGCTTTTTCTATGGGCCATGGTTCTTCCCTGTTAGCCTCATCTAGTCCCCACCATTGACCWGTGGGACCCCTGATCCATTTCTACTGCCACCTTCCTAAATTTCCTTCCTTTAGCATCACCACTGCTGGGAAGTGCTGAAGTTTGGGTTTCTTACTGCCACCCATGTTCCATGGGGAGAGGATGTTGGAGAGAATACTGTGGTTTTCTATATCCACCAGCATAACTCTGGGCCAAAAATTATTCCAAGTCCTCAGAGGGACCAGTTCCCTTTCATTCCCTAGGAATACAGCTCATTGGTGCCTTTGATGAAATTGTCCAGGGAGCGGGCAGAGTGGTCTGTGACACCCCCCAGCTCTTTAAGGTCCTGTTACATGTGTATTCACTCAGCAACCTTGTATTAAAGACCTACTATGTGCAGTGCCTGACTACATGTGCTGCAGACTTCCAGTTGCTTCTGGTATGCCCAGTTGGAATAGCAGCCAGGAAAATCTAGAGGAGCATGCTCTAGTCCYTTCCAACCAAGACAAATCCTGTGGGAATGCTTGAGGAACCCRTTAATGTTGAGGTGGAGAGAGTATGGTCTAGAAGAGTGGTCTTCAAGTTGTTTTGAGAAGTCAAAGGTCTCTCTCAGGCCTCTGTAGAGCCACTAGGGGAGAAGCTCTTAGTCCCCATGCCCATTTCACTCAAAGTGACTCAAACTTTGTCTGTTTTGAATGTTAATATTCTAAGAAAAGTTTCATTTGGCAGGAGAAAAAAGGTCTCAGGAAGGTAAGAAAAAWTTATGATGGGGTGTGTTCCAAGGCCTGTTTTTAGTTTTTGACTTTGGATACAAGAGACTTAATGAAGCCGATGAGTACTACAGCACTGGCCCTCTGAGAGCCAAGGCTGAAATCTTGGTTGTAACCAAYGTCCTGGTTTTTCCTGGGATGATCCTGGTTTATATCTCCTGTCCCGGGGTAATTACTAACAGTGTCCCTTRATCCTCAAAAGTATCCCAACTTACATGATACCTTACATGAGCACCTGGTGAATGAACACAGAGCTAAAGAAAGGGTTGGCCAGCCTTGCCTGATGAGCTGACTAACCAGAATACAGGTCTGAAGGAAGGCCCACTGGGGCCATCCTCAGAGAATGAAGGAATGATGTCATCCAAGGTTACCACCATCCCAAGGCCATGGCCTTCATCACATTGTGAAACTCTGAAAATGGGACATGACCAAATGCTTTCCAGGCTTTTGACCACTGTCACTTTGAACCCACCAATGACCCAGCCAGGTGGCAGGTCTTTCATCCTCTGTATTCAAGTCTGACTGCCCCTCTTGTTGCTTTGTAGTCCCTCTTTTCATTTTCTCTTTCTAAAAATTTGATTCCACATTGGMCATGAGACTAAAGCTGACCTTTCATAAATCCACAAAAGTAACTAGTTTATTTGTATATGAGTAGTTGCATGAGGAAACCCAACATGCATACTGTATTTATTAAGCCCTGAAGGCTTTTAATAAAATATTAACATTGTGTTTTGAATTATGATCTTTGTCTGCTTTGCTGGAACAAAATGTAACAGAGATAACATTTAAAAATCCTTCCCATATTTGGACAACATTACACCAAATGTTGATTTTGTACAGAATTCAGGCTTCCTGTTTAAAAACTAAAACTCCAAGTGTTGAGCAGCCCAAGTTTGTGAATATTGCTTTCTGCTTCAGTGAAAAGGCAGTTTACCTAGAAATAGCATGTAACCTATATTTTGTTAATTTAAGCAAATAAAGACATGTTGAAAAAACTGAGTCAATTATTTGTATATATGTGAAATTCTGCAAGGAAGCTGTCATTGTAAACATCTCACTCCGGCATCTTACTTTGCTAGGGTTAGCTCCTCAGTCATTAGCTTCTCAGCCCAGAAAAGGGTCTGGAAATCTCCCTCTCTCAGGGCTGCAGAAAGGATTAATGCACCTTAGCCCCTCTTCAGTTACATGACCACTTCCCATCCTTTTCCTCGTACCCATTCAGAAAGATTTACTCTGGAGGGCTGTCACAGGCAAGTRGAGACAGGATTACCTCATTCTGCCTCGGGTTCTTTATAAAATGAAGTTCAACCAAGAATCGGTAGACTCTAGTGAGCACAGCACTGATTCTGGACCCAGTCTTAACTCTTCCAATATCTGGGATTTGAGAGCAGTTCACAAACCTCTCTGTGTCTCAGTTTCCTCATCAGTAGAATGGCACTGGGAAGCGGACCCTCCTCACAGTGTCTTGTGTGGACTTAGAATGTGTCTGGCTCACAGTTCATTCTATGGAAGAATCAGGCACCATAACTACCAACAACATAACTAAAAAACCGTGTGCTCAATTCTCCCTTCTCCAAAGGAAAGTCACAAAGCTGTGTTAGCATGGGAGATTGTCCATTTCTGAGGATGTTTCTTTAAATCAACAGTAAAACTTCAACACATACTGAACACAGGTAATTAAATGCCAAGCACTGTTCCAGGTGATTCACACGCTCAATTTCATTTAAGCCTCGAAACCCCACAAGGCAGACATTATCCCTATTTTGCAAAWGAGGGAATGGAAGTTCAGGAAAGTAAAATAACTAGCCCCAAATTACTTAGTAAATGAACATCCACCTTGCCTCCAAGCAATCCGCCTGATGCAGGATCAGTGTTCTGGAAGCAGCTGCTGAGATAAATTTGGGTGCAAGACATTTATTAAAGATTAACACTGGCAAAAAAGAAAGGAAATGGAGCCAAGAGAGGAATAAACTGCGGTGAAGCTCTRACTGAGCCTCAGCCACTGGGATGCAGCTCTGGAGCTAAGACTTCCCATCAGGGTTGTGCCAGGCTGGGCAGAAAGTTTCAGGCCTTTACACCTCTGCCCTGCTCAGTCACCAGAGGTGGGCTGCCCAGGTCAGAGTATGTCCTCCATAGCTGGAGCCCACCCCACGTTACTGGCAGCTGGGGACTGGTGGCTGACTGCACTCCCCTTGCCCGTGCAAAGCCCTCCTTGGAGAGAGACCAGGTGGCTCCTCTCTGTGTCTCCCACAGATACAGTGGTTCCACCCCATGTCTTCACCCAGATTCACAGAGCCTCTCCWGCAGAGTTCTGGTGGGCCTCTCTCCCTCATAGAAGAAGAGGGTTTAGGACGAACTTCATCCCCCACAGCTGCAATGAGTCTAGGGATCAAAATGGACCTTTTCTTTATAGATCATCCAGTCTCAGGCATTCTGTTATAGTAACAGAAAACAGATGAGGATACCCAGTCTAGATTCCCTTCAACATCAGACACCACTCTGCTAGTCTCAGTGGCTTAGATTTCTACCTTACCCCCCAAGAGCCCTATGGACTAAATGCTTTGTGTTCTTTCAAAATTCATGTTGAAAATATGATTCCTCAATGTGTTAATATATGGAGGTGGGATTTGGGGATGTGATGAAATTTAGATGAAATTATAAGAGTGAAGGCCTCTTACTGGGATTAGTGACCTTATTAAAAGAGAAGATAAGAACCTGTGTCTCTCCACCATGGGACCATGTAGATGTCTGGAAGCCAGGAAATAAGCCCTAATCAGACACTCAATCTGACTRCACCTTGATCTGGTACTTCCCAGCCTCCAGAACTGTCAGAAACAAATGGATGCTGTTTAAGCTACTAGRCCTGTGATATTTTGTTATAGCAGCTGGAACTGATTAAGGCACCTACCTTTTGCAGAATAGGATTACTGCACTTGTTCATTTCTAATCATCAGTCAAGGGGAAAAAACAAAACCCAGTGGTCACCCAGTTTCCAAACCATTCTTCCCTGACATTGTGTAAGAACAGTCCTAACTTCTACCTGATGATC